CATCCATAATGGTAAGAAGTAGTGGGAGGTTAATGGAGTATAGTAGTGGGTGTTACTCCCTTAGGAGTTATGGACATCCACCATAATCAAATATTTCATAACACTCCCCCTTGGATGTCCAAAGATAATGTGCCTTGTTAAAACCTTACCAAGAAAAAACCCTGTGGGAAAAAATCTTAGTAAAGGAAAAAGAGTACACATATCTTGTAATACGCATTACTTGCTGCCTCGTTAAAAACTTGCCAGGAAAATCCAGTGGGATAAAATCTGTGCAAAGGGAAAAAGAGTGCAGCGCGTGCTATACTCCCCCTGACAAAAATATCACTTGATATCTCAAAGACGATAAATTCCAATCATGTATAACAACTTCTCAATTGTTGAGGTTGGCAATGCCTTGTGAAGAAGTTTGCCAAATTATCACTTGAACAAATTTGTTGAACATCAATCATGTCTGAAATAGAACTTTAGTGAAATACATTTTATTTTGTCTCCTTCGATAGTCCTTCTTTCAATTGAGCTATGCATGCAAAATCATCTTCAATGTAACTGAAATCTTGTTGAATATCATAATTTGGCATTACGCTCACAGCCAAATTGATTATCTGAACAACGAACCATGCCCTGCATTTGTATAACCAACATAACCTTGGCAATATTTGTTAGAATAAACAAATCTATATCAAGGACTTCTTTTGCAATATAATCATAATAGTATTCCAGTATCTTTATATAGGAATTAAAGTATATCGCGCTAGCATATTGTTATACTCATGGTTCTAGCAAGATACATTGTGCACCAATAAATCATGTACGCCATGATTGCTCTAATCCACATAAGGATTTGCTGAAGCTTTATTTAATGAATTTCTTGGGAACCTTAATATGCTTTAGAACAATTTAAATCCTTCAAAGATTTTTATATACGCATATCAAATTTATCAGGTATTGCCAGACTAAAATCTGAAAGCAATTGTATTCACCACAAGGGAACATGTTTCCATATAATCAATGCTAGGACATTTACGTAAAATCTTGTGTCACTCCACTGACTTTATACTTTCAGGTATTGGGACTATCAGTCCAAAACTTCACGTTTTCCAAGTGAAGTCAATCTTAATTGCGTATTTTTCATTGACCAATCATTTATCTGTCCAAATTCCATGACAGATTCGAGCTCAATATCCTCGTCAATATTAAAAATATTGAGCGCTACATTATATCAACAATATCATCGATGATCATTTTACATCGGTTCCATCATCACACAATAAAGACATAACTTATCGAGATCCCATTATTTTCAGGTACCTGAGCCTCTCCTATGAGGTCTTATAAAGTGGTATGTCACGGTGCTCTTATAGAGCACTTGCCTCCTTATTATGACCATCTTGAACATTTGCTCCTCTCCTTCTTCAAGGAATTTTATCTTTGGAACCGATTAGTTTATTACGCTTGATGCGTGCCATAGACACTGTCTATCATGAACTTTATTCCATTTGGAGCATTAGCAGCTGAAATATGACATTTAGCTTTGGGTCAGCAAATGCGCCTGGCATAATTTTGCAAATGAATTATAATATGAACTTCAAGTTCATATTTTCTTGTACGAGGATCTAAGTGTACTCATAATAATTCATTCCAGGTATTACTTTTTTTTTCAGCTGCTCATTTTCTCCCCTAAGTGCTGGGATCACCAACACATATCCCCAACCTTCTTTGTGGACCAATCTTTGTGCATTGTGGTGGGATAATTATATCATATCGTACATCCATATTTCTATATAGAAATTATTTGGTTCCTGACCCTGAACCAATTGTGATAGGGAGAATTTATCATAACTTGTTGGCTAGATGCGTACAAGTGATGTTGTATATTAAATAATATACCTCATACCAAATTTTAATTTGGGAGTTTTATTCTCATAACCAATGGTTTAGCTTAATTGGAGGCATACAATTTCTGCTAAACCAACTTTGATTTAAACTAGCATTATCAAAATAAATTATCATAATTTATATTCTGGAACTGTGCTCTAATAACTTGAGCAAGCAACCTTGCAAAAGCCAAACTGTAAGTTGACAACAAACGCACATGTGACCATACAATAAATGCATCTTTTAAAATTATATAATAGTAAACGGTCCACATGGCAGGTGACTGGGCCCATATATATATCACCTTTTATTCGTTTCAGATTTTAAGGGATTCAATCTCAACCTTGACTGGTATATCATGAGAATAAGCAGCACAAGAGAATTCTTGAAGAATCTTCTATTTCTTCAATATATACCAATGTGAATTCTCAATTAATTTTCGCATCATAATTGAACCGGGATGGCCAACCGGTCGTGCCAACTAATATTTGTTTTAGTAAATATTTAATTTACTATGGCATGTGATTCCATCACCATGCTTATACATCTGTAGTACAAATAGAAGACAAATCGGGTAACCTTTCATATTTACCCAGTATGATTATAGTAATATGAAGATATTCAATCTTCCTTTATTTATAGTCTCAATATGCCAACCACTTTGGCTAATATATTTGAAACTCAAAAAGTTCCTTTTTGAGACTTACTACCAACAATGCCATGAATAATTTTATTTATTCGGGTAGTAACAAATTCGCTCTTTCGGAGCTCTCAATAATTTTGTACTACAAGATCTTTTATACCACCATCCAAGTGGTAAATTTTTCCTCCACAGAAAAAGTTATCTTATCATTGTCACAATTAAAAACATTATAGACAAGACTTATTTCTTGCTTTACTTTTGCCTTTAATAACTTTTTATAAGGCATGTCAAAATATTTTTGGCGCACCACATATACACGACAAATGACATATTCGTGTAACCACATAGTAGTGTTCATGATCTTTCTTTCTCTCAAACCTCCCGTAGAGGTGAGTTGTAGTATTTATTCAACCATGCATAAATATATTCTTGTGCATAATTTGTATCACATATATATTTCACATTCACTTCAGGAATGAGTCTGCATTTACAATGCTTATCACAAGTTGCATTCTTTCAAAAAAATGGACTATAATCGTCAGAGCGTGCCTCATATTTACAGACCATATTAGCGTGCCTCATATTTACAGACCATATTGATACACAATTCCTTCACCTTTGAAGGATTATTTTGAGAACCCTTATTGTTCTCCTTTTCACAATTACCATAATGATGACTATTATTATTTTGATCTTTGGCACGCCCACATTCATTGGTCAACGACTTGTCTTCATTTAGACTTATTATGCACCGCTATCACATTCACTTCAAGATTGGAGCAAATCAAGTGGGACAAACTTCATGATTTTTCATGAAAAATACATTATTTCTCTTTAGTCATCATTATATCATCAATATGGTGCACTGGGGCTCAAACCCAATGCCTTACACATAAAAGCATGTGTTAGGACTCAAACCCAACTCGTATAATGGTGCATCAAGACAAGAAACGATGTCTTACCCGCATGGTACAGTGGACTTGAACCCATCTTTCTTACCCCTGCATCATCGTATTTAATCATCATAAGACTTAAAAGTATTATCACTTCCAATGGATATAAGCGTAAACTCATCTAGTGATAAATAAAACTATAGTATCTACATCGATAAAGGGGAGAACTAATCATAGCTTTTAATATTGTAGATACAAAAAACATAAACAAATTATGCATTATATTTATTAATATTAACTCTAAGGAAAAATATTATATGGCTTATGCAGACAATGACGATATGGTAAGTTGTCTTATTACCATGATGCACCTATATATTAAAGTTGACACTCCACAATTGAATTAGCCTACTAGTCTTATTAGATCATTATTACTTGAACTTGTTAAAATAGGTCAGTTGGACTTTGAACACCTATTCTAATATATTAAATCAGAGATTGAAGAATGATCTATAGCTTGAAAGTGTAAACCACCACACCGGATGCATGTCAGCTTATACGCGGTTATCATGAGTGAACTAGTTATTCACTATGGTTATACGCGGTGAATTGACTCCATGACACATGACTAAAAAGTTAGTATGATGATGACTATTCTAAGTGATAAATTGTGTCATCATGATAATGTTATATCCGATCTTTGATCCAATGGATCACTTGGAGAGTTGCTGGCTATATTTCTTGAAGTACCAGCAGAAGTTGTACTGTTCGTTTCCGACATAGGAGAGCATTTAATGTAATTTTTGTGCAATGTGACAGTTCTTGTAGGGATGATCTAAATTCCGTTGACAGCATCATTTTTGTAATTTTCATTGTTAGGCAAGTTTCAATCTAATACACAGTTTGCATGTTAGTTTTTAAGCATAATCATAAAATTAAAAATTCGTGGATTAGTAAACAAAAATAGCATAAAGACTCTTACTATTGTATGTGAAAATAGATAAACAAATAGTTACCTGACAACCAAAAGGGTATGAGTAGGCAAGCCGTGAAAGTTAAGAAACACCTACCACAACCTAACGAAGAATGAGGCGTTCGTGCTGATAACGTATTACGAAACTTAGCTCAAAGTAATAATATAAAACAAGAAAATAGACAAGAATGTAGGGAGCAAGAGAGAAGAGATTCTTATTTCTTCCATATATTCAAGTATGTCAAGTGTGTACAATGTGATGCCCAAACCCTCTATTATAGGATGATATAGGTAATACAAAGGGATGCTATGAACATGGTATTAACTATTGAGAACATGGGGGAAGATCATGGAGGTGTGAGAGTTACATCCATAATGGTAAGAAGTAGTGGGACGTTAATGGAGAAGAATAGTGGGTGTTACTCCCTTATTAGTTATGGACAACCACCATAATCAAGTATTTCATAACAATAAGGATATTATTCTTAATTCTCTTAAAATTAACTTCTCTTATCTACCTGTCAATTCTGTTAGTCACGTGCAACTCACGTGACAGTTCCTAATCTGTCTATTTCTGTAAATATCCTTAATTCCAGGCCTAAATTATCAACTTTTCCACTGCTCTTCTTTTCCACACTTTTGACTATCATCTGCTCTTTGATCCTTCTTTTCTTCTCAAGAAACACGATCAATGATCCGTACAACTCTCTCTTCTCGATTTCTCTTTTTCCAATAATCACCAAACTACCCCCGAAAGTTTTTGTTTGATCAATTTAGGGTTTGATCTTTAGCTGTTGTGATCAGTTTATTAGTGGAAATGAAGATAGTGGATTTGGATGAGTCGTTAATGGAAGGTGATGGCAATTGTGTAAATACTGAGAAACGGGTGATTGTTGTTGGTGTTGATGCTAAAAGAGCGTTGGTCGGAGCCGGGGCTCGGATCCTTTTTTACCCGACCCTTTTATACAATGTTTTCCGCAACAAAATTCAATCGGAGTTCAGATGGTGGGATCAAATTGATCAGGTTTGACTTCTTTCTGCGCTTCGTTACAATTTATGTGACATAGTTTGCACTGCATAGAGTTTAAGAAAAAAATAAACTTTTGAAACTTATGGTTTTAAATATGCTGCGACTATAAAAGGTAAGAAGTTTAAAGTTAAATTATTTTTGAATATATAAAGGTCAAGTTGGGATAGCTAAAAAAGAAAAAAGTGCATCACTTAGATTGGAACAGAGTGAGATAATCTATGTGTCATAGTTTGACTATGCAAACTTTAGAAAAAAAGGGAGACTTTTGAAAGAAACTTATGGTTTCAGATATGTCATAACTGATGCTTTTGAAGCTTATGTTCAGTTTTAAGCATAATATTTGTATGGCTATAGACAGTGGCGGATGCAGGATTTCCGCTAAGGGGTTCAAAGGAGAATAAGATAAAAAATTAAAAGAGAGTGGCTAGTGGGAATTGAACCATCAATCTCACAAAGGTTTTGAACCCCCTTGGCCACTGAGCTATGCTTTTGGGCTATGTCAAGAGGATTCAAAATATAATATATATAAAGGCACAAAACGGATTTTGCCCTATATGTACAGTGTAATTTTTCAGCGTCCACCCCCCTAAATCTGCCCCTGGCTATAGATACGTCTCATTAATGAGAAGTTTAATGTGGAAGGTCTTAAACTTAATATTTGTGTGCCTAAAAGTGTTTCTCGTTAAGGATAAAATGAGAAGTTTAATGTGTAGTAAAGCTTTAAACATAATATTTTTGTGGATATAAAAGCTTCTCGTTTAGGATAAAATGAAAAGTTTAATGTGCGGAAGACTTTTTAAGTTTGTAGTCTTAAGCATAACATTTCTGTGATTATAAAAGCTTATCATTTCAGATAAAACGAGAAGGTTAATGTGTAATAAGACTTTTGAAGCTTGTAATATGGCAAGTCATGTTGAATGTCTCTTCCTAGTTTTTAGTTGTTTGCCCTTCGCAACTCTGGAGAAGTAAGGAAGTTGCCTCCCCCTGCTCCCGACCCCCCAAAAAGGAATATACTAAGCTTAATATGTTAAGGTCGTTTGCATTTGTAACTTTGTTTCTTGGTTTATCCAGTTTCTCCTCCTTGGAGCAGTTCCATTTCCCTCGGATGTCCCTCGGTTGAAGCAGCTTGGCGTTGGTGGTGTAATAACACTGAATGAACCTTATGAAACTTTGGTACCATCATCATTGTACCATGTGAGTATTGTAATTTGTAATCAAGTGAGTATGGATGATGGATCATTGTACCATCATCCATTTTTCTGTATTTGATTATTGTAATTTGTAATCAAGTATCTTTAATTGGATAGCTATCGGTAGTCATTATACGACTGGTACATTGCCCTTTAAGCTTTTTCTTCTTGGAAAGCTTTCAGACTAGGATGTTCATTTCTTATATAGCTCAGTCTTGAATTGCTATGGAGCTCTTTTGTTATAGTTTGCGTGTGCATATTGCAAGTTATCATTTTTTGTTTTTAGTCTGAAGTCTGAAATTAGTGTTGTGTTATTTGCCCCAAAAAAGAAGTATTCTTTGTTGCCAATGTCACGATACAATCTTCAGGGAGTTGCTCTGAATATCCACAATGACATTTAGACGCATCCTCTATTGGTAGATAGTAAGAATTTCTATCCTTGAGGCTTTTCTGATCTCGTTCAGTATCAATCAGTAAGTGTTTCTCTTCTCTGATATCCCAGTATCCACCTAGGGTTCCACCACCTTCTTGTTGTGTTACATAAAGAGATGAAGCAGCTTCTTTCCTTCCTCCCATTCCTAAACCTACATTGCACTGTAGAGGTCGACATCTCCGAGAAATTTAATGATAACCTTTGCAATTTGTTTGATTCTTTCTTTTCCAGCTTAATTTGATATAGTTGATAATGGGTCACAGAAATGTGTTTCCAGTTGAAGCATGTAGGGGACTTGCTTTGTTGAGGGAAAAAGTCAAAAAGAGTTGTCATTATTCATGGTTTTATTTCTTTAGGTGTATTTACATCTCTTTACCTCTGTGATTTCAGGCCCATGGGATAGACCATCTCGTTATTCCTACCAGAGATTATCTTTTTGCACCCTCTTTCGTGGATATAAACCGAGCAGTAGATTTTATTCACAGTGAGTGATTGTCGTTTATGTCTTCTATGTTATACTGTGGCCCTTCCTCACTTATTTGCTTCTGTTGCAGGGAATGCGTCCATTGGCCAGACTACGTATGTACATTGCAAAGCCGGAAGGGGAAGGAGCACAACCGTTGTGCTTTGCTATTTGGTAGTTGCCTTTACCTAATATAAAGCCTTTTGTATTCTGTGTGGATAATGCTTTCCAGGCAAGCTAATTTAGTACTCCCTCTGTCCTAATTTGTGAATGATGCCTTTCTATATTAAGAAATAATTTGACTTAAACTTTCCATTTTACCCTTAATAAGATGATTTATGGCCACACAAATATCTATGACTTGTTTAGACCACTAGTTTCTAGAGTCTTTCCTTCTTTCTTAAACCCCGTGTCTAGTCAAAGTGCATCACATAAAATGGAACTGAGGGAGTAGTTTTTTACTTTCAAAACTTTTAGCGATCTTTGGATTGTGTAAAAGGTTGATGCATTTACTAATTTAGGTGGAATATAAGCACATGACTCCTCGTGCTGCCCTGGAATTCGTCCGTTCCAGAAGACCTAGAGTTTTATTGGCTCCTTCTCAATGGAAGGTAAACAAGAATCTTTGAGTTAATTACTTGCTCCACTGGTGCAACATAGGATATTTATCTGCACGTTAATATATCTACATTAAACAGGCTGTTCAAGAATTCAAGCAGCAAAGAGTTGCATCTTCACCGCTCTCGGGTGATGCTGTATTGATCACTAAAGCAGATCTTGAAGGATATCATAGTTCTTCGGATGATAGTCATGGTAAGGAACTAGCCCTTGTGCCTCGAATAGCAAGAACGCAGCCGATGATAGCTAGATTATCCTGCCTCTTTGCATCCTTGAAAGTATCAGGTGGTTGTGGACCTGTTACCAGGCAACTGACTGAGGCACGTGCCTGCTAATCGCACACTCATCAGCAGCAGCTACCTTGTACAGAAGACCACTGCTAAAATAAGGTCAGAAAGAGTTTTATATCTTTGAATCTGTACTTCGGACTGAACATTAAGGGATTATGAATAGAAAAAACCAGTTGAAGTGTCCTTCAACATTGTGTAAACATGTACAGAGTATGACTTCTGTGTTCATTTGTAAATATTGCATAATTATACTCTTCCCATAAGAAAGGGCTTGAATACAGACTTATTCTGAGAGAGGATTCAGCACACCACCAGCAAACAGTAATATCTTTGTTGTATCATTTCTAATTAGGAAGAGAAACAGCAGATGATCAGCGACAAAGTCTACTTTCACTTCTCCCAATTGTGAAGATGTGTGGACATCATTCATTGGCGTGTTGTTTATCGGACATGTAAATGCATAACGTTTAACCTATATGTTCAGAAGTTGTTGCCATGTGATCAGGAGGTCATAGGTTCTAGTCGTGGAAACAGCATCTTGCAAAAATGTAGGGTAAGGCTGTGTATGATAGACCCTTGTGGTCCGTCCCTTCCCCGGACCCCGCGCATAGCGGGAGCTTAGTTCAGAAGTTGTATTCCCGGAGCTAAAAGAAAAAACCATAATATGACACATAGAGAAATCCAAAAAAAAAAAAAAGGAATGCTTACTATTATTGTTGTTGTTATTGTTGTTGTCGTATGGGGTAGGAAGATTTTATAATGAAATTGTAATTTTTGGTGTCCTAGTTCACAATCCATTCAACACATCACCTCAAAGTGTGTCCTAGACTCATATAAAATAGCTGTTAGATATTTTTTATCTTTATTAGTACTACTTTGTTGTGCGTGTATTCTTTAGCCGTGAGTATAATTCTTTTCTAACATTCACATAAATACTACTATTAAGTAATATATTTTTATTATAATTTATATATTAGTAAATGAATCTGCTGTCCACTTCCAAATCTTTATCACTATACTTAAAAGCTAAGATGGGCGATAAGGTGATTTCGTTATTAAGTTACCAAGAGGGTACCAAAAAATTCCATATGACAATTTCTTTTCTTTTTACACAAAAAATACAAGTGAAATTTAAAAGAAAGAATATAAAATACTAAATTCTAGCATATGACATTGGGGTTTCACCTATAGGGTATTTCCAAAATCCACTATAATATGCTGGAATTCTACTTGTCAAAGCATTTAAATCCATCAACAATTGCTTGTTCCATGTTTTAGGTAGGATACTTTTATCCAAATATTTTTCCGTGTGAAAGGAGTGGCTAAATGCTAATAGCTTTTTTAAATAAAGGTTAAACTCTAATAGTCGGGGTTAAAAGTGGCTTTGTCAACTAATTTTTTCTGATTTTTCTTTTGCAACACCAAAATGCTATTGACCAGTCGATCAATTAGTACAAGAACAGTATTTTATTTTATAATCCTGTGCGGGTCAAAACTAAACATTGCATTTTTTTTTAACCTTCTCAGATTTTTGTTTCTTCTTTTATACCATTATTGTTGTTATACTAAGTTGTTATCTTTATACAGGTGGTATATTATTGTAGTGTCTCGTATGCAATTTTTCCCCCATCTTTTTCAACAGATTTTCTTCCAATCATCTAGAAAAATTAATTTGTAAACCAAAAACATGAATCATACTATTTGTCATCTTTTATATTAAACGTGACATGATGGTTTACTTTTTTTATTTAAGAAAATTAGTTTAATAATCTTTCAAGAGATGGCTTTAATAGATAAATTCCTATATTTGGTAATTTATAATTCTATATCTAAAAATGATATATTATATAGATTCAAAGGTGAAATGGGGAGAAATTCAAAAATAGCCAAATTTACAAGTGGTCATTCAGAAATAGCCACAGTTTCAAAGGTAATCGAAATTTAACCACTTTTCATGTAAAGATAAAAAGAGGTAACGTTAATCGAAAAAACATTTTTGCTATATACACACACATACTCTTTATACACACACAGAAAATAAAATTTTAGGAACAGATAAAATTACTAAATAAATCAGAAAATTACTCATAAGCAAAAGAGGTAACATTAATCAAAAAACATTTAGCCACAAACGGTTTATACACACACGGTGACAGATTTTTTGAATAGAGCAAATTACTAAATAAATCGGAACTTCAGTCATAAAAAAAAAGAGGTAATTAATCGAAAAACACATTTAACACCTCAAATCAGTCATGATCAGCGGCATCCTTACCAATTTCTTTAAAATTCTAGTGCATTACCTGCTCAAAATTCGAAAAATACTCCAGCATAATATACTGGAGTTCCAGCAAAGTATACTGGAGCTCCAATATAATAAAATGGAGTTCTAGCAAAGTATACTAGACTTCCAGCATATTATACTGGAGTTCCAGTATAATATACCCAAAAGGCGTCTCAATGAAAGTTGTGGCCTAAAGCCAAATTTTAATAAGGGGTCTTAATTTTTTTTGCCTATATTATAGTTATCTTACAAAATATAGTATTAATATCACATTGATTTCTTTCTTTCTTTCTTTCTTTTTGTCTATAGAGGATTTATCTTATAAAATATAATATTACTATTCACATTGGTAAGGAAATTCAAATTAATAATATGTTAGCCACGTATTTACAATTTATTACCTTGGATCTTATTATAATAAATGTTATTTATCAAACACATGCAAGTCGAATATAGTATGAAGGCTTTCTCTTCTAAAGGCAGGGGTGAGGACTCCATTGCGGCATTAAGTAAGGAGTTGGAGGAAATCAAGGCGCATCCACTTCGTCATCTCAGTCTCTTTTTGTGCAAAGACACTAGGTCCCGAGCAATTCTACCTTCTTTCCATTATCCAACGCTCATGCGTCCCCTTTCTCCCACTCTTTTAAAGCTTTCAATAAAGCCTTCTTAGCTGTGGTATGAAGATGTGAGTATCTTAATTCAAAGTTCTAAAATATTTTTGTTATTAAAAAATAGACAGTCTTTCTTTCCTTTTTTATAAGTATTTTGTATTTGTTTTTTATTTTTCTATAAACTTCAATATTATGTAAGCGAAAATAAGATAGTAAATCCACAATTAAAAATATTTTTGGGCCCCCAAAATTTAGGTGACATAAAGCAAATGCTTTACTAGCCTCCCCTCGAGCCACCCTTGAATATACCGGTGCAGCATAATATGCTGGAAGTTCATATACAGGTGCACCGATCTCCAATATATTATGCTGGAACTTTCCGTGTTGCAACAAAATAGAGGTTATTTTTCAATGACTTTGCAAACACTGGCTATTTTTGAATGACCAGTCCGAAAACTGGCTAGCCCGTGCTATTTTTACGTGAAATGAGTGCAACCATATAATTAGCCCGAACATATAATGCTACACCCTTTGTTGTCTAGAATTCTATATCCAGAAATGAGATACTATGAATCCTTGTTAGCATTGCAAATCATGCAGCAGTAATATCTCTAATATCATATAGTCAAACATTGAAGAAAGCTGAATAAATTACTAACTTTATACACAAAAATCATGTGCCAAAATGCTGCTTATCAAAGCTTGACAAAGCTGATTTATCTATAGTATGTAACCTCCTTTATTTTTCACAAATTACCGCCGCACGCTAAAATTTCGAAATAGCTAAAAAATAACAGCATGAAAATCTTGATCGTGCTTTGTAGTTGAAAATGTTTTATTTGGAATGGAACCTGCTGCTGACTGCATCGTAACTCGGGAGGGAAAGAACTGCAATTTTGAAGTAAAATGAGCAAACCAAAGGAGAAAAAGGATCAAATAAAGATTCAAAGAAAACTAAAGGGCAGCCCAGTGCACTTAGCTCCCGCTATGCGCGGGGTCCGGCGAAGGGCCGGACCACAAGGGTCCTACGCAGCCTTACCCTGCATTTCTGCAAGAGGCTGTGTTTCCACGGCTCGAACCCGTGACCTGCTGGTCACATGGCAGCAACTTTACCAGTTAGGCCAAGGCTCCCCTTCAAAGGTTCAAAGAAAACTAATAACTGAAAAAGGATTTACCATCTCCGTAGGATGCCATGGTCAGAGGCGACGAAATTAGCTTCTGTGCAACGGAAGCAATATCTTTTGCTGAAACTGCATCAATAGCTTTCAAGAAATGCTCCACTGGTTTCCTGAGGACCCAAAAGCAATAAGCATAGAAAAACTCAAGTACTAACTCTTGTCAATTTCCACTAAACAATTGGGTCAGAGGTGCAATGATCAATTGATCATAGATCAGGAGGAGAATATAAAATGGAAAGTGAAAAAACCTAAGTACTTTACATTCTACTCAAACTCTTACATGAAATTTCTATCGTACGTCACTTCATTGGATACGCACAGAAAGAAAGTTGGTCTATATCTCTCCAAAAAAAAATCATTTTTGGGACGAGGGAAGGAATATATTAAATCTTATCTTGGTTGAAGCACACGTGCAATCTCCAATTTTGTAGCAAATAAAATAAAACTAGTAATCATTTTTATCTCTTACAGTCGAACATAACTCATCGTTCGTTATAATGATAAATAATCAGGCCATCTGAAAACCTCCCAACCCAAGGCAAAATGGGTCATTGTATGGATGGACAATTTTTAATATGGAGAGAGCAGAGCCTGAATACAAAGTTCCCTCAGATTTTCATGGAAGGGATATAATGGGAAGGGAGATTTTTTGCCTAGCCTGTTCAATGGAAGGATCAAAGTACACCACCTAATCTATTTATTAGGTGGCATCAGTTTCTCAGATTCAACAAATATAATATTGACAATCTGCCAGAGACTTCAAGTGACCAACCCGATTCGAAGCAGCAAACTTCTTTAAATAATTAAGTCAACAAAGTAAACGTTAGAAACAAGTGTATACCTCTCTCCATATGTCAAAAGTTGTCTGCCAATATCTTCTGATGCAACCATCTACAAGTCAGATATCAGCAGTAAGCACATATATTTTACAACAATATGTCCGGCAAATCCAAGCCAATGCAATATAGGAGTTTGTGCTAGTGTTACATACCCGAGATTCCAAGTTCATAAGAATGGCAGATTTTGTAGACTGTTTAGCACGGTCTAGCTGTACCTGGTCAACTGCGTGAAACGAGTAGACGCAAAGGCCACAAAATAATAATCAGTAACAGGAAAATGGAGACGGAATAATTGCATTGGTACATCGGTGGAGTTCTTTAACTTGAAAGGAGTACAGTCCTTCCTCTCGGGAAGTAAGAACATCAGGTAGAAAACATAGATTCAGTGAAAGCAAGGTAATAGTTCAGAATTATAATTCAAACCTTCTCCAGGGTTTGCTATTGCAATAAGCTCCTTAACTGCTACATCAACAGCTTGTGGCCCAAAATCAGAGGTCTGATAACCAAACACCCACAATCACCCAAAATTAAGAAAGATTTACAGTTTAGAAGTCACTATTTCATGTAGAAGTAACATAACATAAATCATCAAAAGTGCTTCACAACCAGAATTCTGCTGCTATATGCAATCGGAAGTCACCCACACATATAGCAAAACAATAGAGAAACAAGGGTTCAATTCATTTTCACACAACAAAATCTATGTGTGCAGTATGAGCCACTTAAATCGCAGAGGAAACAGCTACCTAACAGCAATAAAACAGCTATTTGGGATACCCTGCCAGTATCTGCACTTTTGGTTAATATGGACATAGTTTGGAAAACCCTATGCCTGTGCATTCCTGTTGTAAGACCATGACATTTCTATATCTC